CACTCTCCTCCTTTTGTCAAAAAACATCTACCTCTATATTTCCTACCCTCACAGTCAGTCCTGATGGCAATTTTTCACTATTGTACCACATGAGTCTTATCCCCATTTCCTTTTGCCAGCCCGGTCCCTATGAATTGGAAATCTTTCAGAGGTGATTCTACCTTCCCCCGCCCTGTCTGGAACTAGGTTCCCTCTTGAAAGCTTGTTAGCCAGTCACTTCTTGCCTTTATAGCATCTCCATTTTGGGTAGCCAATGTCTGAGTTGCCCATCCCGGTACACCCTGTGTACTGAGAGGGTGGGAGTGATTCTCATTGTAAAGCTTTGTTCCCTTTTATGAGCTACTACATCCATAAGTATGAGTAAAGTTCATCCAATTGTAGCAGGTTATGCTTTTATTTTTTCTTCTTTTTCACCCACCTTCTTCTTTCTTCTTCTAGTCGAGTTCTGATCATCCAGCCATCAAAGCCAGGTCAAGTGGGTACTATCTGCAAGTATGGGTGTTCTTGTGCATCTCCCCTCAATTCATATCAGCTGGTCACTTCTCTCTCCATTCTAGAGTCCTCTGTGGCCATGTCACTGCCTCTGGGCCCAGAAGTCCCCATGTCTTGCCATATTGCTGGCCATCCAGGTCTCCACCTGGGTTCACAGGAGCCTATTTAATGTGGCTGGGCTTAGCTCACAACTTCAATGCTGTTTTTCCCCCCCTCTTCCCCTTATTGGTGACCAACGTGTTCACCAGCCAGAACACATACCTGCTCATGCATTCCCCTTGAGTCTCAGTCTTGGAAGGGAGTTTTCTCTGAGGGGTCCCGACCACTTGCCTTGATAGCTCCTGGGCGAACAGCTTAATTGTTCTTGTAGTAATCAATCTTACTGCCATTATTGTTTCGGATTTTTCCTGCCAGTCTTTCTTTCATGGAGTATCTTCTGTTCTTCTAAGCCATCCCAGGCTGGTCTACTCATCCTTTCCAGTGGAAATTTCCTACCTCATTTGGTTTTGGATGAGGTTCTGGATTCCACCTATGGTCTTGTGCAATGTAAAGGCTCCACAGGAAGCCTCTTTCACTGGGTAACTTCTAGCTCCCTTTAAGGTATTCCAATCAGTTATAGGCTGAAGATGGACTTACAAGCTTTCTGTAGTAAGTGATGATTCTGGCAACAATGTTATTTTTTTAAAAAATTTTTTAAATGAATAATAGTAAGTTATTGCTCTTGGAAAATTCTATCATACGGTCTCCAGCATCATTTCTATCACTAAGGCTATATTTTCCTACTACTGATCCTTCCTCTTTGTTTTCAACATTCACATTACAATCACCAGCAATTATGACTGCATCTTGATTGTATGACTTTAGTGGTTGATACATAAATTTGAATAATAGTGGTATTGTCTGGTCTTTCTTAGGCATATGGATACTTTCCTATCACATTGCACTTGAAGATAGATCTTCAAATGTTCTTTTTGATGATGAATGCAACACCATTCCTTTTGAATTTGTCATTCCCTGCCCAGTAAACCACATATATGATTGTCAGACTCAAAATGACCAAATCCAGTCCAGTTCAGTTCACTAATGCCTAGGATACTGATCTTTATAAGGTCCATTTAGCTTTTGACAACTTCCAGTTTTCCTATATCTATACTTAGTACATTCTATTTTCTGATTATTAATGCATATTTGCAGCTGTTGCTCCTCAATTTGACTTGTGCCCCATTAGCAGTTGTTGGGCCTAAGAGTGCTCCATTTGTGTTATCATGTTCAAGTCAACTTTGAAGCTGCAGCTCTTCCCTAGTCATATTTTGAGTGTTTTCCAACCTTCCATCTTCACAACTATAACCGACAGTGTTCTCTGCTAATCAAATGTCTTGATCTTCTGGTACTATAGTTGACAATGTTCCGTTGCTATTCCTAAGGTTTTCAGTGGCTAAACATTCAAAAGGAGTCCGCCTCTCCTTCTTCCTTTCTGCCTTAGTCTGGAAACTCAGCTGAAAACTGTCCACCATGTTTGGCTTTGTTGTTGTTCAAAATTCCAGTGGCATAGCTTCCTGTATCACAGTAACACACAAACCACCACTGTATGGCAAACTGACACATGATTGGTGAAGGTTTGTTACATAGGTTCCTTCAAAATTGCCACAGGCAGCTACTAGCTCAGGAGTATTCTAGGGAGAAGGCATTTGGTCTCTGGAGAGTGGAGAGTCATCGGGAAAATGGGAGCTGTATGTGTGGTGGAGGGAAATGGCGGAGGAAGGGTGAATGGAGCAGGGAGCAGGTTGGCCCCATCCCAACCCCCATCCCCACTCCAGTACTGGGCTGTGCATCCCAGCCAGTGTCCCACTCTCACTGTGGGAGACTTGGCCTCTGGTCCAGTCTGTCTGCTTGGTGACTTGTTTCTTGACAGGGATTCAGGGTGGGTGAGACTTGACTGACCACTTGTCCTAGGCAGCGTGGGTCACTGGTAGCTACAAGTACCCTGGGTTCTCCTGAGCGAAAGTGTGAATGGTTCAAATCATGGTCTTTGGACACATGGCACAATTATGGGCCATATATCCACTTACGTGCAGTCAGAACTCTGTGTGGAGTCCTGATATGGTGCTGTAGGATAAACATCAGACTACTAACCACTAGTTGGTAGTTCAAAGCCACTATCTGCTCCTTTAAAATCTATACAGGTTTGCTACGAGTCAAAATGGGCTTGATGGCACTGAACAGCAACAACATTAGCCAACTGGACCAAATCTTAGCACAGCATCGTTCTGTTCTGCGGGCAGCTTCTTGGCCAGGAGGCATTGTGATCTCAGAAGGCTTTTGCAGTTACAAATGTAAAGACTTGTTCAACTTTGCTGGAATCCAATGATAGCCTTACTGTAAAATCACGCTTTCTACAATGAACGGTTTGGTGTTCTAAGATACACTACTTAGGTTACCATGCTCTTCACAACTTTTAAGCTTTGTTATTTGATTTTGCCTTTGGACTGAATTGTAAGAGTCCTCTGCCCTCTTCATACTGGGTGCTTGCTCTGTGCCTTGCCCAGGGGTTTATTAATGCCTATCTGTTGTATCCTTGCTGGAGGCAGATCCTCGTGAGCCCTCTTCACAGAGTAATGCTGATGACTGGGCTCTGATGCTCATTTGTGGGGTTACTCCTGCTTTGGGTCCCCAGGTCTTTTTCATTGTGCTGTGGGCTAATGTGTCAGACTGCAAAGTCATTTGAACTGCAAGGTCAGTGGTTCAAGTTCACCAGCTGCTCCTTGGAAACCCTATACAGAGTCGCTATGGGTCAGAATTGACTCAACGGCACTTAACAACAACAACAACCTTCCCCGCTACTCCATGGGCCAGTGCCTTCCTGAGACAAACCAAGGGTTCAGTCGTTTGACCTGTTCTGACAGAAGGAGCTTTAATTACAGCAGGACCTCTTCCCAGCCTGGAGCCCCAAGGCTGGCTTTCTGTGAGGAGCTTCAAAATCTCATGAAAATGTAATGGAAAGATAATGGCATTGTCCATGAATTTTTTGAACCCCCAAGTATATATGGAAGTGGGCAGTGAGGGACGGACAGATGTAGAGGATGTTGTGATATGTTTTCTCCTTCCCTTTAGAGCAGTGTTACTCACCTACATGGACTCTGGGATAACCTGGAAGCTTCACATCAAACACTGATCTGGACTTCTGCAGGGGAACTTAAAAAACCTCTCAGACAAGGCAGAGGACTGCAAACTTCTTAGCTATAACTAAACACACCGAGGGAATGGTTTAGTGGGCTTAGGGAATCAGGATGACTGTCTTGGAGGACATATAGGTCAATTGTGGTAACATACTCCACAAAGACAATGTTCTGTATCCTACTGTAGAGAGCATTGTTGTTGTTGTTAAAGTGCTGTCGACTTGGTTCCTACTCATAACAACCCCGTATAGGGTTTCTGGGGAGTGGCTGGTGAGCTTGAACCACTGACCTTGCAGTTCAAACTGACCTTATAGTTTAGCTCATTAACCCACAACGCCACACCAGGTCTTTGGTGAGAAGCGGCTGGGATGTTAAAAGCTTATAAGAAGTTATTTTGATAAAGCTACTGGTCTCTCTTTGAGCACAGAAGAGTGAAGAAAATCAAAGACTCAAGGAAATAATCAGTCCAAAGGACTAATGGACCAAACAAACCAGAGCCTCCCTTCCCTGAGACCAGAAGAACTAGATGGTACCTGGCTAGCACTACTGCTCCAAAAAAGATCACAATATAAGGTCCTTGACAGATGGGAAGAGAAAACAAAAATAGAACAGAATTCATAATCATAAAAAAGAAGAGAGTTACTAGACTGATAGAAACTGGGGAAATCTCTGAGACTGGGGCCCTTAAACACCCTTCAAGCCTGAATTTAACCTACCTTTGGGAATTGACTTTCAGGTAAACATTAGACAGGTTGAAGGATAAGCACTGACTGCCAACTACAATACAAGTTATTCAAACCCACTAGACACTCCTCTGAAATCCTATACAATGTTGCTTTGGGTTGGAACCGACTATACACTTAATGAAACAACAGCATAAAGTGAATAGTATCACCAAGAAGGAATGTACTTTTCAGTAAAACCAACCATATGAGACCAAAAGATCAGCATTTGCCCCCAAACAGAGCTCAAAATGCAGGAAGGGGCAAGAAAGAAGAATAAATTAATGTGGGAAACCCAGGGAAATTGGGCACTATTACACTCTGGTAGCATAGTGGGTACGAATCGGGCTGCTAATCTCACGGTCAGCAGTTCAAAATTACCAGCTGTTCTGCGGGAGAAAGATGAGGCTTTCTGTTCCCATAAAGATTTACAGCCTCGGAAACCCTGTACAGGGTCGCTATGAGTCAAGAACTGTCTCCATGGCAAAAAACAATAACAGTAAGCCAGTATCACACAAAAAAGGTGAATCAATTATTGAATGCAAAACTAATTTGCTCTGTAAACTCACCCAAACTGCAATAAATAAAAATAAAAATAAAAGCATCCAGATGACTCTAGTGAGAACAATTCCATGTGAGAAACACTGCTTTAGGGTGTGTGTTCCTTTTACAAGGAAGGAGCAGGAGTTTAGTATCTTAAGTAACAAGCTTAAGCCAATGAGAGAGCTAACGGCCTATGGCAAAGGGATTGTGTATCAGATAAGGGAAAGTTGGGAGTTGTTAAGAAGGGAGAGATGATAGGGTAATCTGGTTATGCACTAATGGGTAGGGTACTTCTGTGCTGCTCTCCCCTGAGATTTAGAGTCTGGTTACCTGTTCACAGGTAACTTTCTCCAGATCTGTGGAGGCCAGAGGTATCAGATTTACAGACCATGTGGTGGGTTAACATTGAGGCGAAACCTCATTCTCAGAGTTGGTTCTCAGCCAACCTCTACTCATCCAGGGCATTTTTGTTATTGTTTGTCTTCCAGTATTGCTCATCTCATAGTTATGTTTGTGTGTTTTCTTTTTTTAAAACTTTTTATTGTGAATTCAGTGAAGGTTTACAGAGCAGATCATCACTTTACATTCAGCAAATCATATATTATGTTTCACTAAAATGACTGCAATCTGTTCCATGTACCAACAGTTAGTAGTATTCACCTCTATTCAGTTTAACAGAGCATTCCTCCTTGTGTCTCCTGCTACCTTCATCTTTTCTCTGCTAACCTCCTTGTTGTATATTGCCTGCCCTGTCACCCATGTTCACATGCATCTACCTCTAGCATGGGAATGATTTCCCCCACCTCTGTGACCATCACAGATTGTTTCTTTAATCAAGAAAACCTTTCTTAACTTTTTATAACGTTGATCTCACACAATAATTGTCCTTCTGTGATTGACCAATTTCACTCAGCACATGATCCTCCAGGTTCATTCATGTTGCGAGGTGTTTTGCAGATATATCATTGTTCTTCAAAATTGCATAGTATTCCATTGTGTGTTTGTACCAAAGTTTGTTTAACTATTCTTTTGTTGATGGGCACTTAGACTGTCTCCATCTTTTTGATATATCTCTTGTAGACATCATATTGAAGGATCCTGTTTTCTTATCCATTCTTCTCTGTCACTTGACTGGTTCATTTAATCCATTTCCACTCAGTGTAATTAGTGATAGGTATGAATTGTTTGCTGTCACTTGGCAGTGTGTTTTTTTTGTTGTACTGCTGGATTCTTTGTTCCACATAATTTTCTACACTGAGTTCATATTGTTTGTGGGTTTCCTTTGCATTTTCATTTCTGTTGTGTTAATATTTATGAAATCTTTGTGATTTTCCTTGTTTTCTTTTGATGTGCAGGTGTTTTCATTTTCTTTGAGGTTACCCTTTATTATTTTTTCCCTATTTAAAGCAGTCTGTTCTATCTTGAAATCTACTTGACTTTCTAAAATTTTAGAAGTTTTGTATTTACACTATTCAGTCTTTTTACTTTGTAGTTGACTTCATTATAAATTGGTACCTCTGGATCTCTGTTTGCAGTTTTGTAAGTTTGTTTTTTACTTTTAAACTTCTATATCTGGATTGAGTTCTGGGTGGTGATGGCATGTATGGCAATCTCAGATTTTTGTCTAATGTTATTGTTCTCAGTCCAAAAAACACCCTTCAGACTTTTTTGTAACATTGGTCTGGTCATTATGAATTCCTTTAATTTCTGTTTATAAGGAAATGTCCTAACTTTGCCGTCAGATTTGAGGGACAACTTTGCAGGGTATATGATTCTTGACTGGCAAGTTTTTCTTTCAGAGTTTTGTGTATGTCATGTCATTGCTTTCTTGCCTGCATGATTCCTGCTGAAAAATCAGTGCTTAGTCTTATTGGTTCTCCTTTGTGTTTTTTTGTGCAAGTGTTAAAAAATATTTCAATTGCCAACAAGCTCTTTAACATGTGACTATAAGTAGACTATCATTTTCCTCTATTTGTGACAGATTATGTGAGGTGCTGAATCTTGATCCAAGACAAGTTCTGATTGCTGAAGTGATCTTCACAAACATTGGAGGAGCTGCCACTGCCATCGGGGACCCACCAAATGTCATTATTGTTTCCAACCAGGAGTTGAGGAAGATGGTATGAACCAGTATACAAGGTTGTTACTAATAAATCTTGACTTCTCTTTCCCACTTAGCACACTACTCAACATGGATACTTTTACTAGACCTCTAGCTCATCTATTCCTCCTCTTCCTAGTAAGTTCTGTTGGCCATGTCAAGAAGGGGATATTAATGGACAGACCCTCTAATGTAGAGCTAATTAAGTGGTCTGAATTGGTTTTACTTTCATTCTGATAGTTTTTTTAAAGAAATGATTGAACAATGGGATGGATTAAGCAACACTATACTATATTATGTTAATTATATTAGTAGACCTGAGCTTTTCTCCTCAATTCTATTTTATTCCTAATTAAATGATTTCTCCTCTCTCCTGGTCAATGAAATCTTCACTGAAGATGGTTCTTCACTGATGAAGAATATTCTTTAAGAAACTTTTTTGGAAAAGATAGGCTTTAAGCTTTATTTAACAGCCTTTATAATTATTAATGCTTAAGATAAAGTAAGGACAACATATTGTATAAAGAGAGTGCAAATGGTGTTTTACATATCTTAAAAGGTTAAAGTTAGAGCTATATAGTTTCCATATATCATTCTTGGTCATCAACGGTTCTGCAATCTCCCTTGTCTGAGTTATCAGTAAAAACAGTTCCAAATTTGTTGCATTTACTGTAGATAATATGTTATTGCTTATATCTATGAAGTATGCTTGAGCATTTGTGCATGCTATCTTCCATAGATATATTTAAACCTTTGAGAGTTACTGGTTCTAAGATATTTATGGTCACTTTATGGGCCACACCATGTTACAGAGATTCAAGTATAACTTGGGTGCTGTGGCTAAACTTTATGCTCCCCGATTACCCTGGGACACCATCTGGAAATATCCCCCAGGCTTGCTGGTGAGCTGTTATTTCATAGATATTGCTCTGCCCATAATTATGCCAACTAGTGTGCATCAGAGGGTAACAGAAATCTATAATTTATTCTTGGGTTCTCTGTCACCCAGGATGGACCTCATACACATAGAACCATTTTTAGAAAAATGTAATTGGCTTTATTATTTTTATTATACAGCAGTACATTGTGTTGTTGTTGTTGTTAGGTGCCATCAAGTTGGTACCGACTCATAGTGACATTATGAACAGCAGAACAAAACACTGCCTGATCCTGGGCCAACTTCACTATCGTTGCCTCACTTGAGCCCATTGATGCTGCCACTTTGCCAATCCATTTCACTGGGGGTCTTCCTCTTTTTCTCTGACCTTCCACCCTACCAAACATGATATCCTTCTCCAGAGACTGGTCCCCACGACAATGTCCGAGAGAAGAAGTTTGGCCATCCTGGCCTCCAAGGAACACTCTGGCTGCACTTCTTCATACACAGATCTGTTGGTTCTTTTGGCAACCCATGGTACTTTCAATATTCTCCTTCAAC